TGCTGTTCCCACTTTTAGGCTGAAATGGGAGAAGTTTGGGAACGATGGAGGTGAGGGTTAATGAGATGGACAGAGCGGAAAGCAGCGCAAACCGTGCGTAATTACGCAGCGCAGCCGCGACCTCACCGCCTGCGCCCCGCGTCCCACCCTTCATTCCTCGGAGCGCCGCGCCGCCCGCTGCCACCGCGCGGCGCGACGTTCCGCTCCGCGGCTGCGGTGTGGAGAGACTCCCGGCCGCTTACCTTAACACGTTCCAGCTTTTCAGAGGGTCCAGGTCTGAAATTATAGAAACCATGGTCGGCTGGCGGGGCTGGCAGCACCGGGAGAGGGCGGGAGGAGCAGCAGCTGAAAAACCACCGAAAGAAAAAAGCGGCGCAAAGGCTGTAAAGTCCGTCTGCGAATGACAGAGAAGGAAGGGATGCGAACCGTCCTGGTTGTTCAGAGGGTGATGAGCGCTGTCACCGCTCTCTCTCTTTGCTCTCTCTCTCTCTCTTTGCTCTCTCTCTCTCTCTGCTCTCTCTCTCCGTCTCTCTCTCTCTCTCCGCCCCCTCCTGATCCCAGCCTGCGCGCAGCAGCCGCGGCTCAGAGCTTCCTCTGCTCCGTCCTCCAGTAGCTGGCAGCCGCTGCAGGAAACGCAGCCATGCACTGCAGCCCTGCAGCAGCATCAGTCCGATGTTCCAGAATGGAACCAGAAAACTGTTTCTGTGCCGTTTGGTTTTCTGTTGCTTGGGTTCGAGTCGCGCGATGAAGAGCAAACAGGCAGATCATCCGCTCCGTTCACTAACAAAATGTTCCCATTTCAAACTTCGTAGCCTGTTCTAATCTGTTTCATTACAAAATATGAAACTAAAACATATTTTTTCAAGGAAAACTAGAACTCAGTTTAGTTTTTATGATGACCAACAGAGGCGGTTCTTGTGTGAATGTTGCCCTGGGCGGATATCGGCCCCCCGCTGTGTTTCCAGATGAAGGTTTTAATAATCTCAGACTTTCTGAGAAATCCCTGAAGAATATTTCAGTCTTTATATTATTATGGGATCTAAAGCAAAGAAACAATAAAATGCTGATTTCTTCATAAATCTGAAAATCTGTTGATCAATTTTTTAGATTTGTAACTAAAGTGGACCAAGTGGAAAAAAACAACTATTGCAGTAGATGACCCATCACTGACTGAATATATGTTATTATAAATATGAATAGCTTAAAAATGTTTCTGCTTGAAAAATCAAAAATATTTACAATTTTGAAAAAGTTTGACCAGAAAAAGTAGGAATTTCTATTCTGAGCTCAAAATAAAATCAAAACTGTTACCATATGACATCATGGGGATGAAGCCGCTCCAAAAGTGTAAGCTAAACCTTTTTTCTATTACGTATCAATTGGTAATTTTTGAGTTATGATCCATTTAGTCTCCAGAAATCTGTTTAAATCATTTGCACCTGGAAGCAGCAGCAGGCAGACGGACCCATCAGGATTTCATCTGGCTGAACCGATTCCTGAAACGAGGCAGATCGATCGATATCGTCTCCATACGACATGAAAGGTTTTCTCCATCTCTGTGGCGTTTGTGTGTAAATGATGAGTCTGCAGCTTTCTGGCAGCTCTTTCGTGGATTGATCTGTTTTTATGATCATTTAGATAATATTTGGTTGCATTTTAATAAAGTTTTTGGACATCGTGACTCCAGTTAACCCTTCTAGACCAGAACGTGTTGGCGGTGACACATCTAAATTTGCAGTACCGTAATTCTGCCACACGTAGCGCTATCTGAAAAATTCCAACGGTTTCTGAAAGGGGAGACGTTGCACTTTCCAGCAAATATCGGGTTAATACGGCAACTTCACAGCTGCAGCTGCAGAGAGTGTAATTAATCGGGGGGGCACTCGTTTAATAGACGGTAAATTGCGAAAATAACTTGCTGGATATTGAAAGTTCCAGTTGTTATCGATACATGGGTAAGTATATCATCTCACAGGACTTTTAAAGAACTACTTACAATTAAAATAAGGAAGATTTACTTAGTCAGGTGTTTGAAACTTCAGCGCAAAAGGGTTAAACAAAAAGTTGAGACTTTCTGCTGGAAGATGAAACTGACATGAACCGATCAAGTTTTCCTTGTCTATCAATTTCTAGTTTTCTTTAAAGTCTGATCAGCCATTTTGGATTTTTGTATTTGAAAAATTATAATGCAAAAGCAAAAATAAACATTTTTAACCAATAGAATAAAATAAATGATAGTATGTGGGATTGGGACACACGTCCATTAACTTTGTGTAATTTCTTGTTTTTATTAGACTGATAAAAGTGAATCTAATACTGCCAGGTGATGCATTGATGGACCTGAAATGTTTCAGTTTTGCTGCATTTAATTAGGTGGGAAAAAAAGATTTTTCAACATCTGGAAAAAACCATCCAGCGCCTGATTGGTGCATCTCCAAATCAACATCCGACCTTCTTAAACTTATTTCCTCGCTGCAAAGCAATTAATGAATCTTATTTTTCCCAAACTTTTGCTTAGTTGAGCTGAAAATGACAGAAGTGTCAGAATGACCAACTGAGCCGAGTCCTGCAGAGCCGTCAGCGCTCACTTCCTGTCTGACACCGCCACATCCTGTTGATAACTGCCTTTCTTCCCTCTTCCTCTCTCTCCTCGACGTGGCAGCAGATGCATCATCTCTGCTGAAGAATGACAAGCAAACAGCCAAGTCCCACCTTCTCTCCGCTCCTCTCGTTTCGCTCTTTGGGGAAAGAGGAAAAGTGTCAGAGTCGTGTCTGTTTCTCATAATCGTCAGAGTCGGATTGTTGGAAAACTGCTGCAGTTTGTTGAACCAAAAGATCCACAATCTGAAGTTTATCAGTAAAAAATGATTTTTTTAAGGAAACGATGAGCTCAGAGGTCATTCATGGGCCAGGAAAGGAGCTGAGAGTTTGAGCTCAGCGTTGTTTGCTGGAGACGTAACAGTAATCCAACGCTACAGCCCGGCGCTCAGCATCAGCAGCCATCCTGCACGGGCTTTAAATAGACCCGATTGGACATCTGCTTCACAGAGGAGGAGGAGGAGGAGGAAGGCGATGGCTGACAGCATCTCTCACTCCTCCTCCTCTGTCTGTGCTCAAACAGGAATTGAACGTGCACACACCCACAGATCAATGCGAGCTCAGCTCTCGTCTCTGCAGTTGTAATTTGTGTGATAATCTCAACGGCAGGTCTGTCGCTTCCGAGCTGGAGGTGTTGCTGCACACTTACAGGTTAGCAATGCATGAAAATGTCTGTGTGCCTGGAAGAGCTGGCAGGTGAGAGCTCTAAGGGGAAGTTTATTTATAATCCCCACTAATAGAGGAACCTGTTTTCACCTCGCTGTCTGTGGATTTTCCTTCTGTTCTTTTCTTACTTCCTCACTTTATGCAAAGATTCTTATTCAACTCGTCTTAAAAGTCCAGAGGTAAGAGCTGAGGAGAAAAAATCAAACTGGTTCATCTACAAACATCAGTCTGGGTTCGGTTAAAGTGAACTCTGGTTCGGTTTGAATGTGAACGCCAAGCGGACCAGAGACCGCTCCAAAAGCAGGAAGTGGACTACAGCGCAGGGCATTCTGGGTAAATCCAACCAAAGCTAACGTGCTAGCCTAGCGCTAGCAGCAGAAATGGCTCCTGGTCTTTAGCCTAAAGAGAAATCCTCCAACCGCTAAAATCCTCCATCTTGATTCCATCTGGTGAAGAAGGAAGTTGCTCTCAGTGTCTTCAGAGGTTTTTGTGTCGTTTCCTTCAGTGGTTCTTGGTGCAGCGCCCCCACAGGCCAGGAGGGGAACAGGTTGGTTTGACTCAGAGCCACAGCAGCTGCAGGTGGAGCAGATGATTTCCAACCAAACTGGTTCTACCAGGCTATCGAGGGAAAACATTCTTAAACTTCCTCCCCGTTAGGTTGGACATGGAAACCTCGTCGTTTCTGGTTTGGGAACCTCAGAATTTCACACTTTGCAGATGACACTTTATCGTACCGTTGAGCTGTTAAGCAGAGCTGCGAACTTAATTCAATTCTGAATTAAGATAAATTATTTTATTTTGGTGTCATTTCTGTAAATCTGATGGTGAATCTGAAATCTGAGCATAAACACCAAAGAGCTGATTCTCACTAAACTCATTACAGTTCAGTTAAAGTTAAAGTTTGTTTATTAAACCTTAACAGATCTTCATGTTCTCCATCACTCTGAAACATTTGCTCCAATGTTTGCCATCTTGCATGTTGGAAAAGATCTGAGTGACTCTGAAAGAATCCTGGAATAAAAATGTATTTGATGTAAAATGTCTTCCTTTGGTAAACGGTTTTTATGCTCAACTTGGAATCCAGTTAAAATCTAAATAAAAGCAACAAACAAGACAAAGTGACATGGAGGGATTTAAACAGTCTAGCAGGTTGGAGGCTAAACATCTTTGCAACCACCAGTAGAGGGCGCTTTCACAATAAACTGATTTTATGATTTAGAAAATAAAAAGAAAAAAATAGTTTTTTTTTATTTTCACCAGCAATGAAACCAATTTTCCTGTAAACGCTTTAAATCTGCAGCCTGCTGTTTAAAACCTCTAAACCAATTATTAAAGATTAAAAGCAGAACACAGTGAGCCGCATTCACCATCACAGAGCCCGACACACACACACACACACACACAGCCAAACAATATCAGCATGATAAACACCTTGTACATCCCCCAGTGTCTTTATTTCACTAAATCAGGCACATCTGAGGACAGACCTTGAGGTTTATGTCATCATGCATATGTGATATGTATTTCAATTCTAAACAAAGTCAGTTTATCTTCAAACCTCCCACTGAATACAGATTCTCATTTTACCTCCATCCGTTTAGAAAGCTGCTGCTGGAGATGAGAGGAAGGAGCAAAACAGGCGCAGAAAGGATGTGGATGAAATGAGTATGGAGGGATTATTTCATAAACGACAGAATTTTCTTTTCTTTGTAAGTCATTTGATCCTGTCAAATATGCCTAAAGCCATTCGCCCACGCGCTCATTGTCTGAAAAACACTCCGTTTAGGAGAATCGCTCCGGTTTCAAACAATGAGCCCAACGACTGGATGAGCAAAGGGAAGATGAGATTTAAGAGGCAGAAACGCCCAGGAGGACCGGATGGCCAGGGGTCAGTTGGTTGGTTGGTTGTTCGGCTGGTTGGTCATTTGTTCGGTTGGTGGTTCCGTTGGTGGTTCCGTTGGTG